GGAGGGACATCGGTGCCCGGCTCCGGACCTGCTCCGTGACTCGGTGTCCCGGTTTATTGCGTACTGCTGGCAGCCCTCTGCTGTAGGAGTACGCCGCTCTGCCGAGAAGGACGCCGAGAGATCCCCACGCACAACCACCCGTCTCTCTCACGGAACCAGAAGAGGGCTTATCTCTGGGCTCGGAGTCTGTTTGTTTTCTGTGGATCGGGATTCACAAGCTTGGACAGTGCCTGTTTACAGTGGTGTACGAGTCTACAGACCCCAAGGTGCACTACGGAGTTAGAAAGAAACCTCGGATCTGTCGCGCTGTGGAGGGGTAAAAGAAATCCTATACAACTGGTAAACCTAGCCCAAGTCTTCCTACCTCCTTGCAACCAACTTTACCCCCCCCCAACCAAGAGAATTCCCTCCTTTCTTCCTCCCTCCATGCTCCTTCCTTCAGAGACTATAGGATGAGGCATTTCCTTCTATTTGGCTCAGGGTAAAAGCATACCCTGGGGGCAGCAGCACACATCTGGCAGGGACTGAAAGGTTTTAATCCAGCCTCTACTGCAATCAACAATGGCAAATGAACCGGTGATTCTGAATGTTTATGACATGGTGAGTATGAAACAGTACTGATTGGGGGGGAGAGGAGGCAGCGGGGCCGGGTGGGAGTTTGTGCTTGGAGGCAGGCATTGTATGAAGAGTGGCCAAGCATAGATCCTCAGAGAGGCTGATCCCCACCACCCCAGACTCCTCATCCAAGCATGTCGTGTTCTGGCTGTCAGAGGTGATGATGACCCCAGCTTTTTTCTTTGAAATCTTTATCTTATTGGGCCAGATTAGAGGTAAAACTGTGCCTAATTTTCTGGGGGATTGTTCAGGAGCAGCACTGGGTGAGGGGAGGACTTTTAAATTTCCAGTGTCCCAGTTAAGGAAGGAGATGTGATCACATCTTTGTTGGAGCTAATTGTCTTTTAATTTTGGGTGAGCAAGCAGTGCCATGCTGTGGGGAAGGGGTCAGGATTTCATCCAGGGAGAAGAAACAACAGTAGAATTGCAGTAAAGACATGGTTTCTAGGCTAATAATCTGGATCAGTCCCTCATGTGCATAAGACTGTAGTTAATAATTTTCTCTGAAGGTTAATTGCAACAACGGGAGTAAGAAATTGTCTGAACTGGTGAAGTTTCAGCACAGGGACATGCTGCTCAGCAATGTTTCCTGAAAGTTCACAGTGTAGCAAGTGGGTTTCCTTGCCCTCCTCTTCCAAGAAGGAATGTGAGTGGGAATTATCTGTGCTAACAAATCAGAAGATCCAAATCCTAGCCTTGGCACAAGCCCCTAGAGAGAAGAAGCCTTGGCACAACCTGTTTGCTTTCTGGTCCAACAGAAGCTTAGGAGAGGCATTTTCAGATGAGGAACATTTTGATGATGATGTACTTCCTCTCAATTTTTTGCTTATGAACTAGTGATTTAAAAAAAAAAGAGTAGTTTTCAGATCTCCCCAAAATTTAGTAAACTTTGCTGGGAAAAATACAACCTTATGAGGCCCAGGTGCTGACAGAGCTCTGAATATCTAGCTCCAGACCTTTAAGGTTATGGCATACATTTGCTTTTTGCCACCAGACAGTGACAACTTTCAACAGGAAGCCCACAGAACAGTGTGAGTTTACCTGTTGGGGGAATCCAGAGAATAGACACCAAAGTAAACGTCAAACTCTTCTTATTACAAAGATTAAGTGATCTGTAGTTGACTAAAAAAGCTGGGTTGTTTTCTGAAGGAAGAGGGAGTCATAAGGGCTATTTAGGTAGTACTGCATCCATATTGAAGGACAGTCTGAAAAGCACAACTACAGTGGCTTGAAGCCCTCTTCCAGGGCTATTATTGGTAAAATTGAGTAAGTTGGTGTAAAATCCTTCCCTAGACTTTGGTCTTGAGTGTTTAATGGTCAGTTGCTTGGCAATCTGAACTGTGAACTCCCCCATGTTGGTCTTCACCCAACAACAGGTCTTTGACAGGTCTGGTAACCCAAGCAGGTGGTAGCTAGACCATGGTAACAAGGGACTGGCATTGCAAATGCACACAGAAGACTTTCTCATTAATACTTTGAGGAATACAAAGGGATTGTGTTGCCCTTTTATTATATCCACTGTCTTCCTTGCAATTTTTTTAGTTTGTTCTGTAGTAGGCTATGGTCTTAACTTTCCTCTCTGAGCCACTGTTGAGCTGTCCCAAATCGGTGAACATTTTGCTACTGAACTAAAGAGATCTGAATACTGGATGGATATGGTATTTGCCTTTTTTGTGTGATTGACACCAAAGATTTGGACTTGCTGTTCATGGTCATTGTGTTTTGAGATGGACACCCAGCCACAGTGAACTGAACTGAGGTCATCAGTTTAATTCAGACCGAGCAATTTTTGCTGCTTAGCAAGCCATGAAAACCTTCATGTGTGAGTACTAACTCCACGGCTTAACCACAAGTTAATGCTCTGTACATAGAAACCGTTCTATTTTCATATAGCATCTGTTTGACTACCACTGAGTCACCTTTAGTTCAAGTCCTACATTATGATTATTGAGGCTACATGCTTTTCCATTGCTGCTATGATTTTAACACCACGGAGATTGGAATGTAGCCATGCAAAATCTGCACTTTGTTACACTGTGGTGGGGAATTGCGGGGGAACTGGGAAATGAGCACATTTGCTTGAATGACTGTTGGAAAACTAATCTCAAGGAGAAAAAAAGACAGCTGGGGATCACAATTAACTGAATGTAAAGCTCTGCTTTCCTGACAAGGAACATTATTCCTGTATGGCATCTGGAGGCACTTACACTGCAGGAAAACTTACCCCTAGGGCAAAAGTTCAATTATGGGTTTTGTGCAGCTATGAAATACCCACTTTGTGTAGTCTTGTGTATTCAAAGATTATAGCCATTTATCCTTTTATCCATAGGTTATGTACCAGGATTCTTTCGGAAAAAAGTGTTTCTATTTAATGAGGCATTTTGCACAAATAGCTGAAGCAGGTAGATCTATTTGTAGACTTTCTTCAGCATGAAATTGAGCAAAAATCAACGGGTACTCCAAGTGTTCAAAATATCATTGTCAAAAGCAACTTCCCTCACCCCCAGCACACAGGGTACTTATATCCTGTCTTATCTGCTGCTAAAGAGCTTGTACACACCTGTACACTTGCAAAATAGACAGGGCAGGAGAACTTTGCTGCCCCACAAGGACATTTTAAAGAGTGAATATGCAAGATACTGAACTCTGATTTAAGCTGTAAGTGTGAACACAGAATAACAACATGGATCAGGGGTTTGGTCATGGATGAATCTCTTTCCCAATCTGAATCCAGCTCTCTCATGGACTTTCTCGAAGTCAACAGGTGTTCAGAGACCTACATGAAATAGCTGGGTCTGTAAAATCTATGACAGAGTTTGCTCTGATCAGCCACTTATCACTTTGCCTTCAGAGGGATAAATCAAATTCCCCTTCATAACTTGCAGCTCTCTTCCCTCCACTCTGCCTTAATAAGCTGTTTATCGTGGATCAGATCTTACTTAGATCACAGGGCTGACTTTCTTCAGCCAGGATATCATCCTGTTTCCTCATTGCTTTAAGTCTTTGTGGCTTGCTTTGGAATAGTTGACTTAATCACTGTACATTAATAAATGTTGCCTACTTAAATCAGACAGAAGATTATTGCCTAGGTTTACATCTTTAACAAGCAAGCTAAACACATTCCACTAAAAATAGTTCTTGTGGCAGAGATTCAAGTTGGGGGCTCTCGTAATATTTTCAGCTTATTGCATAGCACATTCATGCTATCAAATTAAAAGCAAAGATATTCATATCACTGCTGTCCCTCTTTTATTACAGATATGGTTGTCCCGAATTTCCACTGTCTTTGCAGCAGATAATATACAAAAGTGTCATTTTGATCTACCTGTATTTTGTATTACTCTTTATGCTGGGGAAAATGAGCCCCTGAGATGTGCTGCAGAGGAGAATGAGAGCCCTGGTCTGCAGGGATCCAGGGAGCAATGATGTAAGGTCTGTTTGGATGAGAGGGGTGCGTCTCTTTCTCAGCCTTGTCCCTCTGTTATTCCATTGATTACATTGACATTACTTGTCATCCTCTCTGGAGTGAATGAGAGGGAAATAAGATTCGGGTCACTGTAGAGACACTAGTTCTAAGATTTTTCCTTGTGACTTCCAACTTCAGAGAGATACCCAAAATGTAATTATTTATAATAGTCCTCCCATATTCTTTCAGTTCTTTATGTAATTTATGTCATTTGCCAGCTAAATGGCTGAAGACCATCAGCTGGTGGCAAAGGGTGGTCCTGCAGGTGACTGACTGGCGTCTCTCTTGCTTTACTGATCAGTGGATGATGGTGTCATGGACTTGATTTCTTTGTCACACCACTGAGTGGATCATCCAAGTGGCCCTGACAGAAGAACAAACGCAATAGCATTCTTGTCTCCATGGCAGTGATAAAGGCCTCTGTTTCGTATTTGTGATATTACGGCGAGCAGCCTGTGTTGAAGTAGGGGTGGCATTTTGGTCTAAGGATGTAAAAGCTTATATTCATGTATGTTATTTCTAGGAGTTCCGGGAACATGAATCTCCTGATTTTTATTGGTGTGGTGGAACAGAGCATCCTGGGAAGCTGCATCTGCACAGAAGGCAGTATTTCTAGGGAGGGAAGAGAAGGAGAAAGATGGTGTTACAAACCCTGAGGGTTTGTAATGAGTTTACCTTCCTCTCTGAGTTTATATGAGAGAGGAGAAGCAGTTTCAGTTGTACCACCGAGAAACATTGACCCTGGTCTGTGTAGCCAATCAGTGTGTGGTCTCCCAGCAGAGGCTGATCAGAAGATGATCACAACCTGTGAGTGGCTTAGGTGGGGAAAAGAGCTCTGATGAGGTTGTTTCCACCTGGGTGTGCAAATGTCTGTCATCTTACAGTTGCTTCTACATAGAGCTGGACTTAGGGACTGGGGGCTGGCAGGAGGGTGCTGGGTCAAGAAGGGGAAGTTACAAGAAGCAGTCTGGCTACTCTGTCAATCCCAGGAGAGAGGTAGGTAGTATTTTTGGACAAGCAGTTGTGCTGTGGGAACCTGTATGTGGGACTCTGCAGCAGATGCTGGGACAGGGTGAAAGTTGGGTTTTGTTTATGTGCTCTGAGGAAAGGATTGTCAGAGAGTCCCTGCATGAAGAGGACACACCAGCTATCTGTAAGGAAAGGCATAAAGCTAGAGGTTTTATATGGCCACAGAATAAGTCCATAAAACTTCAGTGCTTTAAGCCAACTTCTCTGATACAAAATAGTTTTATGGAGGTGGGAGTTACTTTTCCTTTTGCACTTTTCAACTCTGTCATTTTCAGCATTTTTCTTTAACATCCATTGGTTGGTTGTGATTTGGAGATGGTGACCTGTGTGTACCATTGAAAACCAGCATAGACTTACCATCCTAGCATCCCTTTTTGGCTTCAGTGCAAGTGGAAAAGAGAAAGACAGACTCTTGGCCACTATAATTAAATGCTTTGGGACTAAAGGAATAGAGGTGCTTTATACCTCTAGCTTCAGTACATAAGGAGCC